CTTAACCCTTCGCGGTGTGACTCCTGTAGCCTGGTGGCCATAGATGCCCACTGGCTGCAGCGAACCTTTGACCATCCTGATTTTGACCCGTCTGTCTTTGGGCGCCAAGGCCCTCAGACGCTTCTGTCTACCTGCCGCCTTGTGGAGGCGCGACCTGTGTTTGGTCACTCTGCGGCGGACGCCACCGCCACAGTCCAACCCAAGGTCGGTGGAGGTGAGAGCGATGGGCGGATCCTCGCTCGTTCTGAGCTTCTCCACTGCCGCCTTCGCTGCCCCGGAGGTGCACACGAAAACCGTCTTTTTCTTGGACCAAACCAGGGAGGACGCCTCCAGTTCAGCTTTCAGGAGGCGAAAGGCTTTCACATTCCGAACGGCGGCCTGCATTGGACTGTGGTGTATTACGTCTAGCCCTATGTCGTCGATCCATAAGTCCTGGTGAGTGAGAAGGTTTGAGTCGTAAAGCACCTGCATGGGGTTGTGAAGGATGATCTTGCTCAAGCCTGGGGCCAGGGGACAGCCGGCGATCAGGCCTTGACTCGTCCGAATTGGCGCCGCAGTGACACCTTCCGCTTCTATGAAACGGTGTCCGCCGTAAACCTGGGCGGCGGCATTGAGCAAAACCGGCGGGAACTCTTGCTCAAGACCTTCCCTCAGCAAGACCGTGTGAGGAACCAGTTCGTAAAAACTGGACAGGTCAACCAGGGCAGTCACCCCATGTTTGCGCGTGTGCTTGCAGACCTCATGGCGCGCTGTTCTAGCAAGTGCCGTGTCAAGAGACGAGTGCCCTGGAAGGGCTCGGTCCCAAGGCGCTCTTCTTCGGTAGCCTTCGAGCCACTGTGCGTACAAGTCCCACCGGAGACGACAATAGGCCCGATAGAGGTAGCTCGTTAAGCCTATGGGCCGCTCGTCCTCTGCCGACTTTGGTAGAAGTGTGTAGCGCACCATAGTGAGCTGGTCGGGAAGGACTCCTTCCCGCTCCCACTGCATCATTTCCTCAACAAGGAGAGTCCCAGCATCATGGTTGAGCGCCCTCAGCATATCAGCCGTCCATTCATCCAGCCCGCAAGCCTTGCGAGCAATGGTCCGGAATTTGCTATAGGCTCTTTCCAAATTGATTGGCCGCAGATGCTGCGCCTGCGCCTGCGCCGCTACACGCACCTGTGTGCACAGGGTGCGCATCTGCCCAGCCTCGCGGCCTGTGTCCGCAGCACACCAAATCTCCCACCACCCCGCTCTGCGGGCGTGGCTCCGGATTTCCGCGCCAAGGGTCTGGTACGGGCGCTGGGTTTTGGCCTCATGGGTTTTGAGTGCCCGCCAAAGAGCTCTCATGTGACCAGATGTAGCCTGGGCAAGCCATGCCTGGTACGTCTGGTTGCGCTCCTGCGTGTCCTTCTTGACGGCACTCTGCAGTTGTGCCTTAACCACGTCGGCCAGCACTTGTGGCCGTCCTGCGTTCGAAAGGTTGTGACACATCCTGTCCGCAAACTCCCCAGCCGTAATGCCCAAGCTGTCGTCGTGCCAGTTGTCGGCAACCTTGACCAAGTGTTCCTGAATCTTTGCCTGAACCCCGGGTGGGAATTTACCGGGATAAGAAGCCAACCAAACCCCCAGTCGGTTCCAAAAACCAGCAAAGTTGCCTTTCCACTGCGTGCCCTCCGGCTGCTGGGGTGCAAGGGGGTTCCTCGCCCAAACCAGGTTCCAGCCCCGGCCCCCGCCCCCATGCTCCAGAAGGGAACACTCAACACTGTGGCTAAAATCCGCCAACCAACGGGTGGGGCGGTTGATTTGTACTTGTGACATGACACGCACAAAAGGGGGCCGGGGACCAAGAGAAGGACGCCTCCTTCTTGGCCCTGACCGCCGGCTTCCTTGGAACCTGAAGCATTGGCAGCTGGCCAACGCCCCAGTGCAGCTGGACACGTAGCGCCGCATGCGGCCGCCAAGGAACCTCCCAATCGACACTGACTTCCGTAAGTCCCTGGATGCGTTTATGGACCCAGACGTAATCGATTTGGCCGCCCGTGCTGCAAGTGGCCTCCCCTGCCCCTATGAACGCGCCGTTCGTGGTTTCAGCAATCCGGGTTTGCCGAATGGTGTCCAAGTCACAGTTAAAGTCACCAGCAACCAGCCACGGCACAGCCAAAGCTTGCAGTGTTGCCACCAATTTGGCCAGGATGGCGGCATTTGTGGGTGTGCTTAAGTCTTGCCCTGTTTCTCCTGTACCAAAGCCACCCCTGCCCGTTGATTTGCCATCCATTGCTTCACCTCACTCCTCCACCGAGTTACATTGGCACTAACGATGTGGAAAACGGAGGGACGCCGCCCCGCTTCTGCATGCGCTATAACATCCTTACACGCCTCCACACATCCCGTAGCGTCCTCTGCCCTGCGGGCGAGGAGGTCAAGCATGCGATCACACAACCAACAGGCAAGGTCTCCTTCTTCCAATTCCGGCTCCAATTGAGAAACAATTTCCACGATTTCCTTTTCATGGTCAGCCATGCTGCTCTTCAAGGATTTCAAGGAGCTTGGGCCATTCATCTCGCACTCTTCGCTTGCGCCGCTGCTTCCGCGGGGGCTTTGGCTTAGCAACCGGACCCCGCTCACAGCTTAACCACGGTCCGTTCCCAATGCTGTCAGCTTCCGCTGTGTCAGTATCTTCCCACTGACTCCATTGTTGGGTGGACCTATGACCCACACAAAATTCGCACATCTGTACTGTGCGCCGACGGACCAATCTGGTCCAACCCAGCTCTTCGGCTGGATCAAAAAGTACCCCACATGATTTGCACCAAAGGGTCTCCCTTCTTCCCCTCAGTGAACAACTCAGGTTGATGCAGTGAAACCTGGTCGGCCTCCTCCGCTTGCGAAAAGGAGGACGCCTCCCCATTCAAGTACAAGCTTTGTCTCGTAGTCAGCAGCGGCTCCAACTCCAAGACATAGGCTCTACTTGCAAACCCCGTCTTAACCTGCGAGTCAGTGCTCCCGGTCCTCCATGGGACACCCTCGCCAAACCCCTACTCTGCAGCCTGCTGCCCATACGGATGCGCTCCATGGCTTCCGGGACTGCGCACCGGGCCGAAACCTCCCTGCCCATTTGGTGTTGACATGTCCTGTTCCGGTGGCCCGTTGCCGTTCTCCGGCTTATCAACCTTCTCAGGCTGGCTCCCTTGGGTAAGGGCCTGCACGAAAGCTTTCTTAGTTTCGGGGCTCAAAGTGACTCCGGCTGCTTCCAGGGCCCGAAGGCCCTCATCTATCTGAAGCGCTCCCTGCCGGGCTCCTGCAAATCGGTTGGTGTCGGCACCTGGTGCTGCAATCCTTTCTGCAACTCCTCAACCTTGGCATTCTGATCATCGACCTTGCGGCACATGTCTTTCATGTCTTCAAGCAAGCTGGTGTACGTGGCCTTGGTCTTGTCAATCCGAAGTTGCAGCGCAGCCTTCTTTTGGATTAGGGTTTTGAGTCCCTGCATCGCCGATGTGTAGGTGCTCAACTTCTGATACAGTTCGTCTTTTGGGCTCGGCTTTGGGGGCTCCACCGGGCTTGTAAGGGCCGCCCTCACAGCCTCCGGTAGATCAGCCGCGTACTGTCTGCAGAGCTCCTCCAGGCCTTTCTGTGGTTCCTTGGGCGGCTCAAGGCCCGCCTTTTTGAGGAGTTCACGCTGCATGGGATCCGCATTTTCCCATAATTGGTGCACAGCTTCCTGGTCCTCTTTTTCAGCGCCGCTCTGACTGGCTCCTTGACTCCCCTGGCTCTCCGGGGAGAGACCCGGTGGAGGGTCGACCACACCTGATTGCCAGCCTGCCGCCAGGAAAGCGGTCTGCACATCCATGGGAAACTGGTCCCAAAGCTTGCGCACTAATCCCCCAGCTTTACCCCATTTCTGCTTTGGAGGCTCACCTCCATTCCTAGGCTTCCTGGGGAGGGAGTGTCGCTGGGGTGCCGCGGGGACGCCCCACTTTCTCCCACATGCCTTACACTCCGGCCATTTGTGGATACGGTCCTGGTAGATCCATTGGCCTGTGCAGTGCTTGCATACTACATAAGGCCGATCCACCTTTGCGGGCCAAGTCATATCCGCGACCGCAGTACCACACCGAAGGTTGGGCCGAGGTTAGAGCCGAAACGGCTTGAGCCACCTAAGCGTGTTTCAGCACTCACACTCGGACATGCCTGGGCGTGTTTAGGACATTTTGTCAGGCCACACATCTATAAGGGGTGGCAGCCCTAGCAGCCCTGGCATTAAGTGCTTCAGAGTGCGCTTCTGTTTGCGTTCTACTCAGGCCGTTCAGGGGCCCAAGCCTAGGCTCTGTGTGATCACATCTCTTCGTTTTTTGACAGCCTTCGGGGCCCCTTAGTGCAGAGTTGACCAAGACAGCAGAAAGCCGACAAGCAGGAGCCGTCTGGTAATTACGGTGAGTTTGGTCTCAGTACCAGCCCAGCCTCCTCTGGTGTGCTCAATATCAACTTCATCACGTCCCGATGCCGTTGGAGTGCAAGCTGGGAGACCCATGCATCCAGCACTATTCTGAAGAAGCGCTTGTATGATAAGCCTCTTTCCCAGTCCAAGGACAAGTTAGATATTACATTGTCCTTCACATTCTCCGGAATGCCAGACCTGTGATATCAAAGAACCGAGTGACTGGGAGCCCTCACTGTGCTACAAATACAAACCATTATTTCTCCGTCATACCATGGCTTCAACACACAAGCAGTGAAGGATCCAATTTGCGACAAAAACACAGCAGTGTGATCGAAGCATCGTCAAGTTTGCAGCGCTCGATGAAGTTGTCTGCTGCTTCGTCGAAGGGAGTTCCAGTCTTCTGCCAATTCCAAGACATGGCTCAGGGCGACGGTTGCGATTCACTAGGTGATCTGATCCAAGATTACTGCCATCGCGACAGCATGCAACAGTCAGTGCTGTACTAAAAGAAGGAGCACTGCATCATATCTTCCAGAAGTAGGAATTTCACGGCGAAATGCCATTGCAGCTAAGATGCATTGTGCGATAGCTGCACCTGATGTTTCCAGCGAAAGCCAAAGCAACAGCAATCACTTTGCGGTGAGAGTCATATCCGCGCTATTCTGCCCACCTCTTGAAGGGATATGCATCTGGAAAGACCGTTGCACAGCAACTCAACCGACACATCGATCAGTTGATTGTTGGAAAGGTCCTCGCGCTGGACAAGCGACAAACTGTGATATATAGATTGGGAGATCATGCAATGTGATCGTGGCGAGATGAACGCAAACTGTCACATGATTGCCCATGTCCAGGATCTTCAGACTGGCGAGCCCTGCCCCAGGCCAGAGTCCCTGACCCAGCGCACCACAGGCCCGAAGGCCAACTCCTCTCGACAGCTGAGCTGCAGTTGGCCTTGAACCTGCAAGCTCTAGATGCTTTAGCTGTAAAAGCAGCTGTCCTGTGCTGGAGAGGGCGAGCCGCCGCAAGGTCGGAATCCCTAGCCGCTGAAAGCTTCCAGAGACTTGGGGACAGCTCTGAACTGCCCACGTACTACCCCGTCAGCAGCGCAGTGAGCAGCTGAACAGCTCTTTGCACTTTGTCACATGTCTGAGATCCAAGCATTTGCTCATGTTTTCAGCGAGGCAGCAGCAAGCGTTCTCGCCAAAATGGTTGCCATTACACCTTCCAGCTATCTCCTCCCGCTAAGGAAGCTTTAATTTGACGAGTAGGTCACAAACAGCTTGATTTCGGGCAACATCACAAATCCTGATGTATCGACACAAAAAATTGTCAGCAGTGCTTAAGACTTAAGTAGTATGATGGCAGTACCTTGTCTCTCTCTGTCGTTGTGTTTGCTGCTCCCAAGGCGCTCGAAATCATTCAGGCCCTTCTCCAGGCAGTCAAAGCCACCGGCCTCAGTGCACAACATGCTACAGTGACCGCACATGCACGCCAGACAAGCGGAGAAGCCAATCCTGGCGAGCTGCCAGCGCTGACCAGCTGAGAGGTTCGGAGGCTTTCGCTCCATCCTCCAGAGAAATGACTTCAGTTGTATACGTATACTTCTACATTGGGGAGGCAAGGCATGGCAAGGCCAGCTTCGATCCAAGAGTCTGAAATACATGACATTCGCAACGACTGCCACCGATTCCTGACAAAGTTGGGGGAGCAGTTGGGTATCCAGGCTCGATTCCAGGCTCGGAGGACTTGAAAATTCTCCTAACCAAGATTTGGGCTATGTTCGAAGGCCGATTGCCGCTAAGTTACAAGGAGCCCACTGGCTGCTGCTACAAGGCAAATTTTGGAGATTACTGATTGGCTGCCTGCGCCTGGCTGCCAGAAGCGTCCTGGCACCATCCTAGGACAGTCCCAAGGAACGTAAGGCAGGGTGCTTTGTCATCCTTGCAGCTCATTTGCGAGGCCCAGTGCATTGTATCCAATGTCGAGTCCGGCTAGATGGCATCCGGCAAAGTCGGCGAGCCCTTGACCTTCGAAAAAAGAGATGAACTCATATTAATTCTGTCGCCAAGCTGAAAGTTCAAGATGCGGGCTGCTGCATCCCACTTGTTGCAGCCGAAGAAGTGTTTGCTTGGCCTTGGTGAAGGGGACGTCTTCCCAAGGTCGCTGCGCTCTACAGACTCTACAAACAGATGCAAAGAATGGGGCACCGGCAAGCACCTTTCCTGGCATACAGCACCAGCAGATTGCTGCATCGGCTTGGTGAGCTGCTCTGCATGTTGCACGATGTGGCACGGATGCAAGGAATCTGGAATGAACCTGAGCATCATATCTGATCTCCTGCCATGCCTACCCCGGCCCCCCCCGTCCGCTTGAGTCTGGCCCCGATCCAGACTCACGACAAGCACATCTTAAGGGTTTAACCCCATCCCTTCCCATGTGCGTTGATTGGCCCCCTGCGTCCTGCTGCAATGTTCCGGGCCACACCTGGAAGTCACTGGTCACAAGATGCCCGCGCAATTACAGGCTCATTCACCTGCTACCCCATGATCATCCAACTTGTTTTTCGACAGGTCCAGCAACCGGAACCGAGGCTTGACCTGGGAAAGACCACCGGCAGCGATATGCAGACTCACCGTGACACAGGGTTCATCATCAGCACTCAGCCGACGAATCTCACTCGTTGCCAGGGGCTGTGGCTTGCAAGCGTGGCGCTGCGCCTCAAAGGCATGCAAACATGCGCTGCAAGATTTCGAGTGTGTACGTGCCGGACCTCCCTCGCATCCGAAGAACATGCGCGCCAGCTTCTTTGCACCAACCCCCTGCAAAGAAACGGCTTGTAGGTTGATAGCGGCGTGCCACGGTTGCCGTTTCTTGGCTTCGGGGATCGTCGCGACAACCCCAGCCTAGCTCGAAGGAAGCTTTACGAAACATATTATGTTGGCCACGGTATTTCTCTACTGCATAATCATAAGTCCAGGCTGGCGACCAACCAATAAAGACCGCAACCAAGTCACTGACAGGCAGTTGTCGCTGAGATCCTCGGAAGCCCGAAAGCGTCTTCCCACGCCAACTCAACGATCGGCCATGAGACACATGACAGAAACGGTTCACCTGCTCCAAGCATTTCTGTCACGGCTCCAAGATCTGCAGGGATGCTGAAAGAAGCTTCAGGCTTTCCGCCAAGCAAGAGACCTTGCAAAACAAAGCAATCAAGTCGGCGAAATGCACGGATTCACGGATTCAGTAGGACAGTTTCTCAAACTGGAAGCAACAGATCCTACACACATCGTCCGTCAAGCGAAAATCTGATAAAGGCCCGATAACTTGTGCAGGTTGTTGCAGCCGTAAGCCGTACGCTGCTGTTCTGGATGCAAAGCAGTACTTCCAGACTTGCATTTTGGCAAGGAAATCTTCCGTCATATTCTGCTAGATTCTGATGCTCCATCTGCTTGACATGTTATCACCCATGAACCTATCAGCCTTCAACTTGACTTCAGAGTCGGGCCGTTGAGACACTACATTGAAACTTGGAATGGGTCAGGTTCAGATTGAAACTGAACAGTTCGGTGTCGATCATTGCCTTTGCTCAATTTTCACGGATTCGGCCCGCACCAGTATTCCCTAACAGTCACTGACTTCATTGCGAAATACTTCCGCGCGGTCTTTGCAAGTGAGGGTTTGTCTTCCTATACCGCCTGCATGTCCTACTTCCGGAGGAGTAGTAGTAGTAGTAGTAGTAGTAGTGGTGGTGGTAGTAGTAGTAGTAGTAGTCTTAGTAGTAGTAGCACGAGTAGTAGTAGGAGTAGCGTGAGGACTTGATTTCGATATGCTGCTCTCCTCACCCTGGGCTTGAGGATATACGGGGTGATGTTAATCCAACGTCCAATACGGTATTTCACGTGTGTATATATCCCACGTCCCCACATCGCAGACGATCGCTCCTTTTCCTTGCAAAGGGGTTGCGTCTCTGTTGGGGTGCGAGCAACTAAACGGGAGAGCTTGACGTTCCAGGGCTATGCCGAATAAGAGCTACGGACAACGACTGAAGAACAACTCACGGAGGGTCAAACACCATGTAGTTGGACAGGCCCCAGCGATCTCGAGGACCTCCTGGATGGGCTGCTCGCCTACCTGCCCACCGGAGAAGTCATCGAGTACGCGAAGCATAGCAGAAAAGTGGCCATCCGGCCGCTAGAGCAGCCTTTCACTGCGCGCAGACCGATGACCGAGTTCGCCGTGCACTCGACGACTCGACGAGCTCCAAGCTCGCGAACCAGTGGTGGGAGGCAAGTGTTCTTCTTCCGGAAGGCCAAGAACAGCAAGCGCGGGCGGTGAAGAGGACCGGCCATGGTCATCGGCAATTTGGGCTTCGAGGGCTGGACGCTGCTTGCTATGTGCCCCGGAACAGGTCGGGTTCGGTCGGATTGGCGACCAACCTCGAGAAGCTGCTCAACGCCGACTACGACGAGAAGGACTCATGCCGAAGCGGGCCAAAACGGGAGATCTCGAGCGAAGCAGCTCGACAATTAAGGATCCGTGTTTCTTCATGCTCCAAGTTGAACGTGGCGGGAAGCCCCTGAAGTATGTGGCTGTGCACGTAGACGACCTTTTGGTCATTGCTGAGACGCAGGTGAATGGGCAGATCTGGAATAAGTTGTCCAGCCCCTTCTCCGTGGACGAATGGGAGACCGGACGCTTTGACTATATTGGACCCCACCTCGAAAATGCAAGCTACAGAGGAGCAGGTTATCGACAATTGGTTGGCCAGCAATCTCGAGTCACAATGCTGAGTGGCATCCCCCAGCAGGCCTCAGGCTGCGCCCCATCCCGATTCAGAGCGGAGCACGACGCTGGATGGCCCAACGCCGACGAGGAGGATGCGACAAGCAGCCGAACGAGTGGCTTTGCAATGGATGCCCACCACCTGTCATATGGCTGACCCCCTGACGAAGCCGATGAAATGCCAGGAGTGGTGTCAAGCGCAAAGGGAAGGCATCAAACTACCTTTCGATTTGTGCTCGAAGGATCTCGAAGGTCATCGGAGAAAGCCAGATTTTTGACGAGTGTAAAAGACGGAAACTTGACTGACTTCGAACGCCCGTCGTTTGGAGACACAACAGCTGTTTCAGTGAGACAAAAAAGCAGCGTATCGGGTTCATAGCTACCAGGGGCAGCTTGATCCCAAGCTGTCCCCTATCATCTAGGACCGTCGTGATTATCTTTGGCTGGACCTACGTCGGGATATCGGAGAAGTAGATTGATGCCGAATCGTTCTACTACACGGCTCTTCTGCTCAAACATTATTTTCGGGGCATGTTGCTCACATCATGGCGCGGAGTATGCGATCTTCATCGCATCGTCCTTGTTTTAGTGACAATTGAACCTGTTCGTAGCATGACAGGGACTGTCGCTAACGCCATTTCCGTGTCACAGCCTATCTATTTGGGAGACCAAGCTTGGTTGAGCTTGATTGCAATACAGAGGAGTTGCAGTGGAGATCTTGAATTTTCTTGTCAATAGCGGCTACCTTCCAGTGTGCGTGTTGGGCCGCAGGCTCAACACATGGATGGTGTGAGCGGACATCACAGCATTGTCAGATCGGAAGATCGCACTTACAAAAGGTATGAGTCTTACGATGTACAGGCCGCCACAAGCGACGCTGAAGTTCAGGCCGCATGTTTGCATATGTGCTCACTGCGTGACTTATCTTGTTTAAAAGCCCGCATAACCGCAACGCTTGTGGCTCGAGAACAAGGGCCTAGGCAACTGCGCTAGCCAGCGCAGTAGCGACCACAATGTCTGTCTTGGTGACATTCTTGTCCTTGGCGACACGGGCGAAGATCGCCTTCCAGACGCCACCTTGTCTTTCGTGAAACTCACCTACCATTGTGCTTGGCCGGCGCAGCTCCGGATCGCCACGCCGGTTCAGTCCGTGGCCTTGGCTAGACCATTCTCGAGGTCGATGCTGGCAATGGCAGGTGCCCCGAAAACCTTCGCCCAGTACTGCAAAAGGCTTGCTCCAGCGGCTCCAGCGTCGGGGTGTCTTTCTCGGACCCTGGAACCACGACATGGTTTGATGACGAGAAATCCACCGTTGTTGCCGTCAACGTCGCGGATGTAGAACAAGTCGGCACCGACCACTTAGTTAAACTGGAGCATGTTGCCTAAAGCCGCAGGCGTGGCGATCGTCGGCGTCTGGGTCCGGACACGCGGCCCCAGCGATCCTCAGGTGTCTCACAAAGTCGGGCGTGGAAGGGTGGCCTCGGCCTGGGCCTGATTCAAAGCTGACGCGACATGGCCAGGAACTCCACGTGGAAACATGATACCGGCCGCTCCCACATTGTCACCTTGTCCTCTCCCGACATGCTCGCTCACATAGACCGACTGCTCGAGGTTGCCGTCCTCGGTGTAGTCCTGCTCGACATGGTAGTGGCCAGAGTTCCATCCCGCGCACGCCATCCTCCACCAGGTTGTCCTCGAAGACCATTGTCGCGCCTAGGGTCACACGCTTCCGGGCGATCTCATCGATAGCCGGATCCACACCTGGCTCGCGTCCTTCGTCTTTCCCTCAAAGACGCGTAGCTAAAAATCCCCCACATGATGGGCTCAGCGATGTTGACGTCGTTCTCGACGAATTCGGCTGCGTAGCATGCGGCCGTAACGTCGCCGATCTCAAGAAGTGAGGTTGCCGCCGTCGTTGTTCTCGTAGTGTACTGTTCATCCACGTAGGCGTTGTGCATGTTGGTGACCGTAGTAAACAGTCTAAACTTTGTCTAAACAATACACTCAGCTCGGTGGCCCTTTTGCACATGGCCGTCCGGTTGTTCCGCTTCGGCCTTGTCCATGTAGTGGTGGTAGATGTCGTCTTCCCTCCTTTCGTGACGCGCAGAGTAAGAAAAGGGAAACCGAGCTTGCTCCGAGGGAGTCCACATTGTTGCATTGCGGGTGGTGTAGCCAACGAGGCGACGGTGGCTACGGGCGCCGGCTTTGGCAGTCTTCGTGCTGTACAGAGTCGCAAGCAGTGCATTTCCCGATTCTTGTCTACATGGCTTCGCCATGAGTTCTGAGTGGTCACTGCTGTTTCAAGCTGCTCGCGACTTCATTCAGCGCCGGGAGCCGCTGGCGCAAGATCTAGAACTGATCTTTTGACAGTTTGGTCCAGCGCGGACTTGCTGAAAGCCGCTTTTCGCGGAGGCACAGACTCATCCGAAGAAGGACGTGAGCCAAATGGCGCTCAGCTTCATGTGATCTTTCATTTTGCTTCGAAAGTGATGGGGCGTAGAAGAGATCGTTGGTTTAGCATCCTGTACCTCCTGTCAGAGCGGAGTACAGACAACTCATGCAGCCGGTGCCCTAAACTAGAGGTGCTTTATTTCTCTTTGGGTCGCCAGAAAGGGCCAAAGATGCCAAAGGACGATGTTGCGCAATGGTCTCAGGAAGACTCGTCCACGCACTGCATGCCAGCCCAAAATCCCAAATTCCTTTCGTTCGTGTTGTTGTTCCATGTTGCTGTTCCTGTTTGTCGTGTTGCGGGGGCTAACTCTTTAGGCCTTGCGCCGGAGGGGCTGCATTTTGATAGGCCAGGCTCGTGCCTCGGTCGATCCTCAATTCAACTCAACTCCACCGTCGTCCTCCCCGTGTCTGGCATTTGCAGTCCTTGCGACCGCCTTCTGGTAGTTGTGGACAATCTCGCCCTCGATGAAATCACCGCCCGTGTCTTTACGGTTCCTCCGCCCTGACGCTGTATCGATAATTTTTCACCAACATAGGGTTCCGTAGCCGTTGCGTCGTTCAAGCTCCCGGGGAGGCTCTTGTCATCAGTGTGCGCACGGACGGGCATATCACGCAGTACACTGATGGCGTTCCATTCGCCGCTCTGGTCCAGGTCGTCCTGAATTTGTTGAGGTACTCGAGGGCCGGAAACTCGAAGGTTCTACGACTACGACATACTCCACCAAAGCTGCCGCGCACGTAGTAGCCGAAAACATGCCTTGCACCTGGGTAGTGTCCTCCATGCATGCGACGCTCCTTGGATGCTTTCCGTGGTGGGACGGACTCCATGACCTCCTCCAAAGGCCTCATAGGTATAGCAAGTGCTCTCCTCGCCAGCTCTTCGCACTGTGCATTGCTCAGTCGTGTTAAAAGCCCCCCCAGTCACACCCTTTAGATAAGCGTCCACCTCGATGGCGTGTGCTTGACAAATTTTCCAGGCAGGTGGCACGAACTGGGATGTTGATGAAATCCACAAGAGTCTGGTCAACTGCAGCTGACGACCTTCTATGGGGATCATCTGCAAGATGCCCATGGGGTCGATGTGGACAGACGGGCTGCATTGAGACGGAATATCGCGGAAGCATGCGCACATTGTTTCTCCCGTTACGCCGGCAACCAGTTCGGACAAAATAACATGACACGTGTAGTGCATGTCTGACCAAGTTATCTTTTCGGTGAGGATCGACCGTGTTACGTGTCCACTTCATCTGACGCACACCTCGGATCATCTTGGCCAGGAACTGCGAAAAGAACTTGCAAAAGAACAAGAATCCTTCCGGATCGGTCGTAGACCTGTGTTTTCGCGGCTCGCCAAGAATGTCTGCATCGGTAACATCAGCACTGACCGCTGTTTGCGAACAAGGACCGGGCAGGCAGTGCAAGGCAGGGTGGCAAAAACATGTGCGAAACATGGGTGAACATCTGTAGGGTGTTTTGCACACCTCAGGCTCAGTGTGGGTTTTTATGGTCACTTCGTCATCAGTCTTGATCATCATCCACTCCACCACCAGCACGACGACCACGAGGGGTTCCGACGATAACATCAGAATCATCACTCACATCCAGCGGGTCCTCCTCGTACCACTGTTTGGAATCTTCGTTGAACCTAAGTGCTGTAGCCATTATTATTGTTAGTAGTAGTAGTAGTAGTAGTAGTTGTTGTAGTAGTAGTAGTAGTAGTAGTAGCAGCAGCAGCAGTAGTCGTAGGCGCCCCCCTACCAACTACACTTGCTCAAAACCATCTTAAGAGCACATCCGTTTTACTCGGTATTTACAGCACTTTCGTCATGTACAGTACGATCATCATGAGAAGCCTCAAAATCGACCTGCCGAGTTTGCAAACTCGGCCTCTTCATTTTGGTCTTGCTTCTGGGGGGTGGGCGGGGATGATGACGACAGTGTTACGCAAACACAACCAACAACATCACCACAAGAGCCGTTTTACTAGGTATTTACAGTACTTTCGTGATGTCCTACTTTCTTATATAGTTGCCACCCCTACTTCTGGACTGTGCGTCTTAAACTTTGGTGTCTCGAAGGGCATGCAGCGAAAACTCGAAATTGGTTGGGGGAACCGTTT